GTGATTCTGGTGCTCAAATCAAATGAATGTCGTCTACCGATTCGATTAGCCACATTGAGTATCTCTGCAAACTGATTACTGATTACCATCGTTGCCAGCTCATTCGAGATCCCAGTTGTGTCCAAAGTTTCTTCAATTGAGCTGCTAGAAGAAGCTATTGAGCTTAAGTCTGATTCATTTTCTTCAAAGATAATCTTTTCATTGGCTCTCCGTAGATTATCACAATTTCGCTTTAAAGGCCAGAGTTTTGTCTTGAAAAACTCTTTGCTTTTCGTCTCCATTAAAATATTCAATTCTTCAAAATCGATGCTTTCAGTAAATGAGTCACTTTGATATTCAGATCCAGTTGATTCTCGTTCATCATCCGCTTCCGAAGTCAAAGAAGAATCTTCTGAGTCTTCGGGAAACGATACAGATTCAGATTTAGGTCGGTCATCATCTTCACTCCAAAAGGTAAGAGTTGGAATGCTTGTTGTTACTTCGTCATGTTGATATTCTCTTGCTTTAGTCTTGAGTTCTTCAAGTTGTTGCATCACATAAGTCTTGCTCAAATCAATTTTCTCAACCGAGTCTGCACTTTGTTTTCTAGGTGGTGCAGGTCGTGGTGGTGGTTTTCTTTCAACACTTTCAACTTGTTGTAAAATTTTACGATGTTCTAATTCTTCAATTGTTTCTTCTTCAGATTGTTCTTCAGATTCTCGTTTATCTTCACCCGAAGTAGGTGTGGAAGCTTGTGATACAGTTGGAAGAATGATAGGCAAGGACCAATCAATGATTGCTGGTCTTTCAGTGCTTGTACATGTTACAGTCTCAAGTTTTAGATGCATTTCCTCATCGATAAGTTGAACCGGAGAGATTAGAATCGAATTTTCAGCGCTTGCGCTTGATAGCTTCTCTGTTTCAGCACTGATAACAGAAATTGATTCGAGTTTGATCTCGTCAAAGATTCTAGATGGTTCTAATCTAGCAGGTGGCAAGTTATAGAAATCTTCTCGTTCAAATGATTCCTGATCAAAGGAGGCTTCATCATCTGCACCAGATGTTGACGATGATTTGACAGATTCTTCCATCTCTTTACTCCATAAAGTATTTCCCATTAAAGCTTGTACTTTGGAAATAATTGGCCGAACAACAATCACTTCTTGATCGATTTTTTCACTGTTCACTGTGATCGTTGACACTTTCTCTCTAATCTCTCTTTCTTTTTCGAGTTCTGGCGACATGACTAACGTTAATTCTTCTTTGTCAAATTCGATTTCTCGAGACTGACAAATTTCTGATTCCTTATGTCCCCATTCACTTGGTCGAGGACGTCTTGGCTTTGCCAATGTCCATTCAGCAGATGTTTCTTTTACTAGTTTCGCCAAAAAATCATATTCATTGCCTTGTGACTCTTGTTTAACAGTCAAAGTTTTAGTTTCAGATGATTTTACTTCATCATCCCGAGAAGGCAAGCTCTCGCTAAACTCGAACTTTGCTTCGGGAACCATTTGTGCATGAGAAGTAGTTGCATCAAATCTCTCAATGAGCTCATTATCGTGAATCGCTTTCCTTTGTTGTTCGAAGTTAAACGTGGATTGTTCAGCCATTTTCTGAATCCAAGCAATGTGAGCTAGCTCTTCCTGAGTCAACTGGTCACTCGGAACAACCTGTTCTCCATCTTCTTTGAGTAAAGTTTCTTCAAATGATGATTGTTCAAACGAATGCTCCACATCAGCACCAGATGTTGCGCTCGAGTGTTCTTCAACCGATTCAACTTGGTTATCCCAAGAAGGCAAGTTTTCAGTGAGCTCCAACTTTGCCTCAATAATCTTTTGTGTATGTGAGGTTGTAGCATCAGTCTCCTCAACTAGCTCTTCATCAAAGATTGCTATTCTTTCTTTTTCAAAATCAAGAGTGGATTGTTCAGCCATCTTCTGGATCCAAGCAATGTGATCTAGTTCTTCCTGAGTCAACTGATGGCTCGGAATAACGACCGCTTCTTCTTTGATTGCTGTCTTGAGTGGAGAAGAAAATTTCTTATATAAAGGCGCTTCTTCAACAGACGATTGGTCAAATGAACGATCGGCATCAGCACCGGATGTCACACTTGATCTTTCAATTGATTCAGCTCGATCACCCCAAGACGGCAAATCTTCCGTAAACTCCAACTTTGCTTCGAGAACCATTTGTGCATGAGAAGTAGAAGCATCAAATCTCTCAATCAGTTCATTATCATGAATTGCTTTTCTTTGCTGCTCAAAGTCGATTGTTGACTGTTCAGCCATCTTTTGAATCCAAGCAATGTGATCAAGTTCTTCTTGGGTTAACTCATTACTTTGAACAACCTCAGCCTTTTCTTCATCTTCTTTGAGTAACATTTCATCAAATGATGACTGGTCAAATGTACGGTCAGCACCAGATGTCGAACTCAAGTGTTTCTCAATTGATTCATCTCGATCATCCCATGAGGGCAAACCTTCCGTAAACTCCAACTTTGCTTCGAGAACCATTTGTGCATGGGAGGTTGTTGCATCAAATCTCTCAATGAGCTCATCATCATTAATTGCTTTTCTTTGTTGTTCAAAGTCGATTGTTGACTGTTCAGCCATCTTTTGGATCCAAGCAATGTGATCAAGCTCTTCTTGGGTCAACTGATCATTTGGAGGTACAACCTCATTGATCATTGACTTTACGAGTAATGGTTGGGAGCTTTCTTTTGCAAACATTCTCAATGCTTCACTTCCGCAAAGTGAAGCTTCCAATGATGTTTTGACTTCAATAACTAGTTCTTCTTTCGGTGGAATCAATACCGGGTTTTCAGCTGTAACTTTTGATACTTGCGTTGATTGAGAATAATCGACGGTGATCTGTTTTAATACTAGCAAATCTTGGATAGCTGGTGGAATTGGTCGAGGTGGTGGAACCCGAGCACCAAATTCCGTTGAAGCTTCTTGGAGTATTTTTCTCATCAAGCTGGGTCCCGGTTCGCTTTCATTTGTTAAGAATCCTTCTTCCATTGAGTCTTGGAACTGATCACTGATGCCAGCTTGTGAAATAGGAGACACTGGTGAATGATCATCAGCTCCTGATGTTGCACTGGACTTTTCTATCGATTCTGATTCCTCGTCTCTCATCGGTAAGATTTGAACTGTTTCTAGCTGTGCCTGAATTAATAACTGAGCGTGAACAGTGATGGGATCAAATTTGTCAAGAAGTTGATCGTCAAATATTGCTTTTCTTTGTTGTTCGAAATTTATAGTTGACTGTTGTGCTTTTTTCAGAATCGCGGCAATATGATCAAGTTCTTCTTGAGTCAACTGGTCACTTGGAGCAGCAACTTCTTGTTTAATCTCGAGTTGCGGAGAGAAACGTTGATAAAGTGGCACCTCCTCAACCGAGAATTGATCAAACGAGTGTTCAGCATCAGCGCCGGATGTTGCACTTGATCGCACCTCGAATGATTCAGCTCGATAACCCCATGTCGGCAAATTTTCGGTAAACTCCAATTTTGCTTCTAGAACCTCTTTACCATGAGAAGTGGCTGCATCAAATCTCTCAATCAGTTCATCATCGGGAATCGCTTTCCTTTGTTGGTCAAAGTCGAACGTGGATTGTTCAGCCATTTTCTGAATCCAAGCAATGTGATCTAACTCTTCTTGAGTCAACTGATCGCTTAGACCGGCAACCTCTTCTTCTTCCTTGATTATCGGTTCAAGTTGAGGAGAGAATCGTTCATAAAGGGGCGCTTCCTCAATGGATGATTCGCTAAATGAGCGATTTTCATCAGCACCCGATGTTTCACTTGATCTTTCAAAGGATTCGGCTTGATCATCCCAAGACGGTAAATCTTCAGTGAACTCCAACTTTGCTGCGAGAACCATTTGTGCATATGAAGTAGTAGAATCAAATCTCTCAATCGTTTCATCATCATTAATTGCTTTCCTTTCTTGTTCAAAGTTAATCGTAGACTGTTCAGCCATCTTCTGGATCCAAGCAATGTGATCAAGTTCTTCTTGAGTCAATTGATCACTTGGAACGGCAACCTCTTCTTCTGTGATCACCGGCTCGAGTTCGGGTGAGAATCTCTCATAGAGTGGCGCTTCTTCAATTGATGACTGATCAAAAGAACGATCTTCATCAGCACCAGACGTGCAAGAAGACACACTTTCTGAGCCGATTCGAGAGAATATCGGCATCGAAAATGAAGGCTGGATCCATTCAACCTTTTCACTGTAACAAGTCTCAATCATAGTTTCAGATTCAAGATAAGTTTCATGTTGTTGGATCCGAATCGGCTCTGCAATTGACCATATTCCAGCTTTTCCTTTTTCTGATTCTCTCAAGTTGACCTCAATCGTTGCTGACAAAATGTCATCTTGAAGTCTTGGTGGTCCGGGACGAGGAGGTGGCATTGGTTTCAAACTCTCTTTTCGAGTATGAGAAATTTCTTCTTGAGCCAACGAAACATTCTCGAGTTCGGGTGAGAATCTCTCATAGAGTGGCTCTTCAACTGATGATTGATCAAAAGAATGTTCATTATCAGCACCTGATGTTGCGCTTGAATGTTCTTCAATCGATTCAGCTCTATCACCCCATGATGGCAAGTCCTCTGTAAACTCTAACTTTGCATCAAGAATCTTTTGTGCATGTACAATTGTTTCATCAAGCCTTTCCATAAGTTCATCATCAAAAATTGCTTTCCTTTGTTGTTCAAAGTCGATTGCTGACCTTTCAGCCATCTTTTGAATCCAAGCAATGTGATCAAGTTCTTCTTGAGTCAACTGATCACTCGGAGCAGCAATCTCTTCTTTGATCTCAGATTGCGGAGAAAATCTTTCATAGAGTGGTAAGTCTTCACTTGGTGATTCTAGTGTTTCTTCATCAGCACCCGAAGTGGCAGAAGAGTGTGTCTCTTCACTAATCTGTGAAATCACTCGTCGAAAAGGCGTTGGTTCCACTTGTAGAGGTTTTCTGAATTCAATCTCTTCACTGTAACAAGTGGCAGTTGTTATGCTTACGACGATTTCTTGGTCTTTTGTTTTTCTTGGTTCTATAGTCTGTGATAGTGAAGGGAAAGTTGAGATCGATTTTGAAGTGGCAAGATCGATTTGAATTCGGTGAGAGACAAGTTGATCGAGCTTCGGTGGGCTGGGTCGGGGTGGTGGCATAGAAGGTGTAGGCTGAGGCTCTTCATCAAATGATTGCTTAAACAATCTATCATGATCAGCCCCAGAAGTTGCAGACGATTCTGCTTCTGATAGATTTTGTTCTTCATCAGCTCCAGAAGTTCTCGATGAGACTTGAGAGATCTCTCTTACAAGCAAGGGTTGTGATGTTTCGGCTGTCAAACCTTCTTCACTCCAAAAAGTCGCTGTCACTATTCGAGACATTTCCTCTCTTTCAAGTTCCTTTTCTGGTGAGATCAACTGAACAGTTTCAATTTTAAACGGCACAATGTCAACCGTTGAAACAATACTTTTGTCTAGATCCACTTGAATCTCTTCCATCATTGGTTCTAGCAATTCAAATGAATCTTGATCAGCACCAGAAGTTGCTGAAGAAGCAGTCTCAGAATCTTTTCTAGGCAAAATTATTAAAGTGCTGATTTCTCTTGGAGTCACTTCTTCTCCAAAATAGTTGATTGTCTCAATTCTTGATAAGATTTCTTCTTCATCACACATTTTTGGAGGAATCAAATTCGAGATCTCAGCTTTTATCAGTAAAACTTCAGTTGAACTTATAAAATCAATATTCGGTTGATCACTGAAAGTAATATCATCGACTTCTTGTACTTGTATTTGTTCAAATTCTTGTTCAAAAGATCTCTCATCATCAGCTTCACTTGTCGACGAAGAAGCAAAAGATTCTTCTCTCAAAAGTTCTTGTAAAGCTTGAGCACTTTGTTCTACCTCTTCACTGAAATAGATAACAGATTCAATTCTTGATGCACTTGTTTGTGAAGTACTTGGCTTTCCAAGAGTCACATCTTTTCCAAAATAGGTGACTGTTTGAATTCTTGACACTGCTTTAAAATCATCAACTATTAAAGGAGGGATCAAACTTGGAACTTCAGCCATTGCCAACTGAATCTGATCAGACTTTTGAACTATTGTAGTCATAGTATTGATAAAAGTGTTAGCATCAATTGGTTCTTGTACTTGCTCAAACAATTCTCTTTCAAAAGATCTCTCATCATCAGCTCCACTTGTCGACGAAGAAGCAAAAGATTCTTTTCTCAAAAGTTCTTGTGAAGCTTGAGCACTTTGTCCTAAATCTTCACTGAAATAGGTAACAGATTCAATTCTTGATGCAATTTCTACTTCACTGCTCATATCCGGAGAAATCGGTTTCACTGTCTCAGCTTTTGTAAGCAAAACCTCAGTGAATCTGATCATTTTGATATTTGGTCGCTCTCTCAAAATCTCATCTTCAACTTGTTCTTGTGCTTGAATTTCTTGCTCTTGATCAAAAGATCTCTCATCATCAGCTCCACTTGTCGATGAAGAGGCAAAAGATTCTTTTCTCAAGAGTTTTTGAGAAGTTTGAGAGCTTTCAAGGGCCACTTCTTCTCCAAAATAAGTCACCGTCTCTATTCTTGATGAAATTTCTTGTTCCTCTATCAACTCTGGAGGAATGACTCCAGGAATTTCAGCTGTCAGCAGGCGATGAGAAGCCAAAAGATCAGTATTAATTCTATCTCTTGAAACAATATCTTTCACTTGTTCTTGAGGATTCTCTAGCTCAAATGATTCTTGCTCAAATGATTGATCTTGATCAGCTCCTGATGTTGATGAAGAAGCTGTGAAAGTTTCAGAATCTTCTCTGATCAAAACCGAAGTACTTGGCTCTTCTCTTACATCTTCACCAAAATAAGTAGCGGTTACAATTCTCGTTGTCATTTCAAGTTCTTGAGCCATCGTAGGTGAGATTGAGATTGGGATTTCAGCTTTAATCAATTCCACTTCCTCAGACTTTTGCAGTTCTAGAGTAATTACATTAACAAAAGTACTATCTTCAACTGATTCTTGTAGATCGAATGACTCTTGTTCAAACGATTGATCAGCGCCGGATGTTGCTGAAGAAGCTATAGAACTTTCTGATTCTTCTTTGACCAAGACTGGTTGTGAAGTACTTGGCTTTCCAAGAGTCACATCTTCTCCAAAATAGGTGACTGTTTGAATTCTTGACACTGCTTTAACATCATCAACGATTAAAGGAGAGATCAAACTTGGAACTTCAGCCATTGCCAACTGAATCTGATCAGACTTTTGAACTATTGTAGTGATAGTATTGATAAAAGTGTTAGCATCAATTGGTTCTTGTACTTGCTCAAACGATTCTTTTTCAAATGATTGCTCTTGATCAGCTCCTGATGTTGATGAAGAAGCTGTGAAAGTTTCAGAATCTTCTCTGATCAAAACCGAAGTACTTGGCTCTTCTCTCACCTCTTCACCAAAATAAGTAGCGGTTACAATTCTCGTTGTCATTTCAAGTTCTTGAGCCATCGTGGGTGAGATTAAGCTTGGGATTTCAGCTTTTATCAATTCCACTTTCTCCGACTTTTGCAGCTCTAAAGTCATTGCATCAACAAAATTGATGTCTTCAACTGGTGAAACTAGAATTTCAAAAGATCCCTGTTCAAATGATCGTTCTCGATCAGCACCAGATGTTGAAGAAGAGGCTGTGAACGTGTCCGAGTCTTCTCTACTCAAAATCGGTAAAGAATTTAGTTGAAAGCTCAAATTTTCACCAAAACAGGTAGCAGTCACAATGCTTGATGTAATTTCACGTTCATGTAGCATTAAAGCTGGTATAATGTTGGGGATTTCAGGCTTGACTAGGGTTACTTCTTCAGACTTCTCTTCTAGAAATGTTGTTTCTTGTCGAATAACATCATCAACAGATTTTTGAAGTAATTCTAGAGATTTTTGTTTAAACAATTGATCATGCTCATCGTCAGAAGGTGAAGCAATTAGCAAGATTGGCTGAGTAGTGCTCGGTTTAAAGCACACCTCTTCACTAAAAGCCGTAGCCATCCAGATTCTTGTGTAAACTTTTAATTCCTCTAACAATTCCGGTATTTGAGCTGAAATCTCAGCTTGAACAAGTTTTACTTCCATAGATTGTACAGTACTCGATGAAACATCAAATTCAGCAGATGAAACATCAAGATTCTCCTCAAATAGTTCAGATTTCTCCGAATCAACTCCACTCATCAGTGATGAAACGAATCTTTGACTATTCAACTCTGAAATCTCATCAAGTCTCTCATAAACTGGTTCATTCTCCAGTTCTTCCTCAGAGCTAGAGGACGGTTTAATAAAATCCTTTTCTTCTTCAAGTGGTTCATAGAAAATATCTCTTTCCAAAATCTCCCCAAAATCAGTTTCAAAAGAAGACTCTTCTTCTGAGACTTCTTCTGAGACTTCAGAAACTTTCCGCAAAGCATTGTACTCTTCTTTCCTCTTTTCCTCCACTTCTCTTAGTTTTGTCTGTGTCCAACTCGGGGGTTTCGGTCGTGGCGGTGGTTGATGCCGATTTAAATCGATCATTTTCGCTCGCTCAAGCAACTCCTCTAACGTTTTTGAATAGGCAATCATTGGGACAATGTAATCCGTCGCTTCATACGAGATCAATTCCTCTTCATCGTACTCCAGCTCTCTTTCAAGCTCTCTCTCAATAATGTCTACAAAGAATTCACTCTGGAATCTCTTCGGTGGCGATAAACTTCGTTCAATTCTTGTGATCATTATATCCTGATACAGCTCCTCTTCTAACTTCATCATTTTCAAGGCAAACTCTGAAGTAGATGGTGAAGAATGGTGATCAATTGAGTGAATTGTCGGTGTCTTGGGCTCTTCTTTTTCTCTTTTCATCCATTCCATCCATTCATAACGATTAATGACGGAAACTGGTCGAGAGCCGCTTGATAGGGAACTATTCGACGCGGAGAGGATGACAGAACAACCATCGGGCACATCATCCACTTCTTCTTCCATCACAGAATAGGCGAATGGGATAGCGCTCGATGTGGAAGCGGTGGAGGCTGGAAAATGACTGTAATCTAGAGGAGATTTTGATCATAATCTTTTCTCAATTACTTATAAGCTTAATAGAAATCACTGCAGTATGTTTGAGGCTTTCCATTTCAAATTTCAAAGAAAGAAATCTGTAACGAAAAGGAACCAATTCTGTAGAGAAAAGGAAGGAAATCGCTAGAGAAAAGGAACCAAATCTGTAGAGAAAAGGAACCAAATCTTTGAAGAAAAGGAACTAATTATGTAGAGAAAAAGAACCAAATCTGGTTCCTTTTCGAAATTTTTTGAAACTACTTTAATCTTTCCTACAGAATCTGTCCGTTCTACATAATTTTGTTTTCATTCAATTTAGGCTTGATTTCTCATCGAATGCGGTCAAAATTAATTAAATCGGACATCAACTAAAGGAAAAGCTTTCGAAAATAGCCATCTTTTAGAGAAAGTTACAGTTATACTACCATTTCTAGTGCTTTAAAAGAAACAACTACTTAACCTGTTGTCTAACAGGGTACTTTTTACTCAAAAACCTAAACACACTCTTTCTGAAACACTGAAGACATCTTTTTCTTTTTCTTCTAGGAAAATTTTAGGGAGAAAAAGCAGAAAAGAAAGAAAAGATTGATTCAGTCCATTCAGAAAAGGTGTGTTTCCAGTTCTCGACGACAAAGCACATCGCCAACTTCAATTTCCTTTCGAGAACGATTTGCGAGAACCCACCTGCATCCACAATCTCTAATCCATCCCAAACGTGTTTCCCATTTTCCGCTTCTGGTTCAATTCTCTCACACATTTCCAGCATTTTCTCTAGCTCTTCGGCGCACTCGAATGACCGAGAGACGTGCACTTTTCGGAGTTCGTAGAAGAGAGCCAGCTCTTCGTCTAAATTCAATTCTTAGAATTGTTAAGCTTGTGATGCACAAAATGAGATATTCATTTGGTTTTTGATTAGCTTTACCTGTCTCCGAGTGTTTTATCATATCGCTTGCAATGGCCGCGTCAAGCACCTCGGTGACCAAGCGCTCGCAGATCTCGTCCAACCTGAATTTTAGCATTTTGGTGTTTACTAGCTGATGGATGAGAGAATTTTGAGCCAGATTTAATTCCATTTTTGTTTTCTTTATCATTTCTTGGCAGATTATTCTGTCTACTGCTAGAAATCACTTTTAAACAAAATTTTCAAACAATCAGTTGAACAAAGTGACAGTGTAATTAGGTTTGGATCAGAATTTTCCTAATTCTTCTTAAGTTTTCGAACTTATTTGGGTTTTTCTTTAATAATGAACCTTTTTATCTCCTCATCCTCTAGCTCAGTCACGACAATCTGGCTGTAAACCAACTCAAAGATGTCTTCGACCAAGCGTCGACAAAACTCTTCGAAAGTGCTTGGAAGGAGTAGACTCTGAAATGAAACAAGGAGAAATACAGGGTGACCAAGAATTATCGCAACAACGTTGTATTGCAGTACTGGACAATGAAATATCATATTTGAAAAAACGATCGTCACTTTCGCGCGTCTGTAACTCCCTTGTCTTTGAGTTTAAACTATTAGTGTTATACATTTTCTGAAAGCTCTTTTCAAGGGCTACACAATGGCAATATTAATATTTAGAAATACGGTAAAGACAAGGGAGTTACAGACGCGCGAAAGTGACGATCTTTTTTCAAATATGATATTTCATTGTCTAGTCGTGTATGTTATGAAACCCATTTCACGTTTTGCTTACCTGTTTTTATGGTTTTTGTGTATTTTTCTTATTTTATTTACTAAATTTCAATACTTCAATAATTCAAGTATGATTGTTTTCAGGAATGGTGAAAGCGTCTCCACATCGACAATCGATCCTTGATCTCAAGCGGCGGCGTGTTTAGGCGAGCGAAATCTCAAAGCGTCTAAATGTCCCCAGAAGCCTCGTTTCTCGAACCATTCAACGTTATGAAACTCTGGGCATCGATCCAGTGATCTGATCGCCCTGGAAGAGGTGCAAAACGAACAGCGGTTACTCCGGCAAGAAAGTACGCGATCGTCTAAGATTAAACCCTAACCAATCGGCTCGAGGAATGGCACAGAAAATGGGTCTGAAGAGAAGCTCCGTCAACACAATCACAATCGAATTTGGCCTTATCAACAAGATGGTGCGCCGGTTCACAAGGCAAAGAAAGTGCAAGAGTTTTGTTCAAAGACCTTCCCGGACTTCATCTCGTTTTCTGAGTGGCCACCCAGCTCACGCGATCTTAACCCATTGGATTACTCAGTCTGGAGTCTTCTTAAAGCCAGGGCATGCGCAAAACCACATAAAAATCTCGAAAGTTTGAAGAAAGCGCTCATCAAAGCATGGGATACCCTCGATGATACCTATTTGCTCGCCACGGTTTTGCCATTGATGCCGTTTCCCAAACGTTTGCAGGCCTGTCTCAATGCCAATGGAGGCAAATTTGAATTTAATTGTTAGTTTGTTACTGTTATTTGTTACTGTTATATGTTGAATAAAGATATTTAAGTTAACTTTTCGAGATGGGTTTCATATTTGGTTAAAAGCCAGGCCTTTTGTGTGTTGCGGTAATTCTTGGTCACTATTCTTCTGTACAGTATTTTTGAATATATTTTCAAAGTATAACTATATAACTAATGAGGGAATCTGTAAAAAAATATAGAAAAAAGTTAGTTTATAGATAAATTTATTCAAGAGTTATGGCAATTGATCAGTTAGATTCTGGTAGCACAATAATAAGTTGTTGTTAACAATAGCTATTGTACAATTGTTAACAATAGCTATTGTAAAATTGTTAACAATAGCTATTGTACAATTGTTAACAATAGCTATTGTATTGGGTTGGGGAGAATGAGTCGGCGCCGAACTTTAAAGGGACTTTTTGCACACATAAAGCCTTCTTTAAACATACGTTTGGTTTCATCAAAAGGATCCACTATTTCTCTACAAAATCACTTTTGAGAGATTCCACAAAGCTTTTCTTTCGTGGAGTTTATGAACTTCGAAACGCAGCTGGTTAAAATGGCAAAGAGTCCGACTCATCATTTGAACAGTTTCTTTCACATAAACCTTCTTTGGTGTTTATATAAAAAAGATAGAGCACATTGAATTACTTAAGTTGCCAAATTTGCAGGAAGATCCCACCAATGGTTTTTTCTAGATCACAGTTTGTAGTTTTTGTGAAAAAATGGCTTTTTCTTGAGCGGAGGCGCTGTTTGAATTTTCTTTTAAATGTGATTTTGTAGAGAATTAGTTAACCATTCTATGAGTATCAAACGCATATTATTTGACAAAGTCGAATAGAAGTTTTAGACATTTTTTTCATTTTCGGCGCCGACTCATTCTCCCCAACCCAATAGATTCTGGTAGCACAATAATAAGTTGTTGTTAACAATAGCTATTGTACAATTGTTAACAATAGCTATTGTAAAATTGTTAACAATAACTATTGTACAATTGTTAACAATAGCTAACAATAGCTAACAATAACTCTAACTATTGAAATATTAATAAAACTAATCCCAAAAATCTCCCGTTTGTCCCTTTTTCCACAGCCATTTTTCCGTTCCTTCTTTTTAATTATTTTTCAAATATCTCTCTATTTTCTGGTTAAAAACTGAAAACAAATAGATATAGAGAAATGATTTAAAGTCATCCTGTAATTAAACAAAATCCTTTACCTGATAATACTTGGACAAAGCGGCGGCAACAATTGAACAAGCGAGATCGTCGGCCCACGAGTCGGCCTCCGCCTCAAGCACCATCGGGGATTTGCTCTGCCCCACTGAAATTCGAGTATTACCACCCTTATTTACACATGAAATTTCTCTTCTGTGCTTTGCAATTTCAAAATAGTTTTAAGAAGGTACATCTAGCCGAGAAGTACATCTAGCCGAGAAGTACATCTAGCCGAGAAGTACATCTAGCCGAGAAGTACATCTAGCCGAGAAGTACATCTAGCCGAGAAGTACATCTAGCCGAGAAGTACATCTAGCCGAGAAGTACATCTAGCCGAGAAGTACATCTAGCCGAGAAGTACATCTAGCCGAGAAGTACATCTAGCCGAAAAGTACATCTAGCCGAGAAGTACATCTAGCCGAGAAGTACATCTAGCCGAGAAGTACATCTAGCCGAGAAGTACATCTAGCCGAGAAGTACATCTAGCCGACAAGTACATCTAGCCGAGAAGTACATCTAGCCGAGAAGTACATCTAGCCGAGAAGTACATCTAGCCGAAAAGTACATCTAGCCGAGAAGTACATCTAGCCGAGAAGTACATCTAGCCGAGAAGTACATCTAGCCATGTACACCTTTCAAACCACTAACAATTCATGAAAGCCAACAAATCGCCATCTTCATCGATTTGCGAGAACCAATGCGTTAGTTGAGCGGTGAGCACGCGGACACGGGAAACGATTTTCGTGGCTGTCGCTGAGGCTTCTAGAATTTCATGATGAAGGTGTTTTCTAAAACTTGTCAACTTTTGAAAGCTTTCGTTACTTTACCTCCAATCTACTTTTAGCTCTGATTTTATGAGAATACACGATAGTTAACACTAATAAATTAAAGCTAATAAGTTTCTCTATTTATCTGAAAGTTTAGAGTAAGTAAATTGAACCAGTTCTAATTGGTGGACTCAATAAAATGAGTGGCTCCATTCCCCAAATGGCAATCAAACTTTGAGCTCAAATTTCTTGGTGTTGAGCTGTTCAATTTTAATAGTTTTTGTACCAATCGACAGAGAAAGTCTTGGCGCATCTAATGATATCAAGAATATTTAAATTGAACAGCTCAACACCAAGATATTTGAGCTTAAAGTTGGATTGCTAATGACAAAGGGGCGGGGTCGACCTTTTATACGCGCCCTCCCCTTTTTGCTAGTGGCAATCCAACTTTGAGCTCAAATTTCTTGGTGTTAAGCTGTTCAATTTAAATATTCTTGATATCATTAGATGCGCCAAGACTTTCTCTGTCGATTGGTACAAAAACTATTTAAATTGGATAGCCCAACACCAAGATATTTGAGTTTAAAGTTAGATGGCCAATAGCAAAAGGGACGGGGCTATCAAGTTTTCCACAATCGACTGAGTCATTTTTTGACATTTTTCCCGCTTTTGGCGTCGCTATGCCCAAATTCTTTGTGATCACTTTTTCTTCATATTTGACTGTTTTGTTTTGCTACAAATTCGACATCTTTTTAAACTATTGCATGACTTAACCAGCGCCAAAATTCAGCGAACAATGCGATCTGTTTCTTGATTTTCTTAGAATTTCAAACCTCTTTCCAAATTCTCCCCAATCGCCACAATCGAATCCGCTCTTTCCGATAGCATTCTCCTCGGCGATATTCGGTGTGACGGACTGGCCGTCTCGCTCATCGAAACTTCCAGCGCTAAATGAAAATTTATCAACTTTACTTGTAAACTTTAAAACATTAGGTTTTCAAACGTAAGCATGTCACTAATACTAAGCTATTTTCTCACCTGATTCCTCTACATTCTTTGCTAGAAAAGGAAAGCTTTAAGAAAATATTTTATTGAACTCACTTTCGGGTAATGAATCCATTTGTACCAAGGGGAAATCACTCATTTCAAAGGAGTCCTCGCGCTCAGACTGAATAGGAAAATAAGTAAGTTTTTCAAGAAAAATTCTGATTAAGCTTTAAAAAACCAGCCTCTCCAGCTTGTTCTTGATCAAAAGAGGCTTTCTCGCGTAGAATTTTGTGTGTGATTCCTTTCCTTGCCAATCGTCGAGTGTCAACGGCGACTCTGGCCTCTTTTCGGGAGGCTTCGGCTCGTTGAAGAACCTAGAAGATCCAAAATTGATTTGAACTAGCTGATCTGGTTGAATTTGTTCGTTGGGCGTACGTTGTGCTTTCAGAAAAGCATCTTTCTGGTGTGCTGATCTTTATTTGATTTACCTGTTCGATTCTCTCTCGTTGTTCACTCGTCAGATCATCTAAAGCATGCTGGAGTGCGCTGGTTGGTGAGATCAATGAAACAGGCTAGAAATTGAAAAATTCATTTATAAGAACAAATCTTGAACTATAAACTGATGAATATTGAAAATATTGAACTGTAAACTGTTGTAAAATTTAGAAACCTCAGATGGAGGGGATTTTGGTTCAGATGATTCAGGCGACGAGAAGAGACAGACTTCATCGAGGCCCGTTTCTTGTCGGGTCACTTTTCGTCGAATGATATGCCCTAGAAGAATTTGGTTTCAATTAATCAAAATGTTTCTTACAATGTTCTTAAACAACTTGTACAGCTGTTGCTACTGTTGTAACTTGTACTTACTGACATAAAGAATACATATTCCACGATTTTAACCCGCCGGTCCTTTTATGCGTTAAACATATCGGCGCCAGGATTTGAACCTGCGACCTCTCGCTTACCCGGCAAGTGCTCTACCAAAGAGCCACACGTATTCCATTGCCGTCAGGGTAAGGCTTTATGCCTTACTCATGTTGATGTAGTGGAATTTTATGCCCTTGTCATAGTCAGGCCTAGTGCTAGTAAAGTTTAGCTAGTTCAAATGGGTTTTGACCTCAAGCTAGATAGTTTTACCTTGTTTTTATAGCACTAAACAGTTTTATAGGACTAGAATCGATACTGTGTATCGCTTTAAATAAATCTCACCTCCTTCAGCTGGTGACATCCATGCCATAAACCCTGCCGGTCTGCTCGTCTCCCCTCTCTCCTCATCTCCTCTACTTGTACTCGCTTCTCCTTCTTCTTCAGCTTTTTTCTCCTCTTCCGGCTCCTCTTTTATCGCTCGTCCACCACTGAAATAAAAATGAGCTTGAAAACGAGAATTGTTGATTGTTTATTTGTAAGTGTTCGAATGGTTGGCTTGGATTTGGCTTAAAGCTATTGAGTTTGATCATTGATTAATTAGATGGCCACCATCGCAGACTGGCTAATAGCCTTGTGGGGAGATCAAGAATCTTCGTGGGGAGATCAAGGATTCAATCCCGGCAGCTAGATTATTAATACTTTTTTTTCCCATATATATGGGGGTTTCTTTTCTTCTCTACATTTAGAAGTTGAGTGCTAGCGTTTATGCTTGTATATTGTTTGTACCAAATTCGTGTGAATAAATGTATTTTAAAAGAATTAATTCAAATCTATCAACATTTTATATCAAGATCAACTGAATCCTAGTCAACTAAGCAACAACAAAGATTTGGTGAACTTACAAATAATACGAAAACCAAGAAGACATCGCGGGTGGACGCTATCTCATTTTTGTTCGTGGATTGCTGAAAGAGTGAATAGATTTTCACATCTTGTTTATCAAGAAAAATAGCAATAATTGAACAATCAAGGCTCAAATCAAGGATCAAACATAAAAAAGAATAGAAAGGAGTGCTTATAAGTTGAAAATTTGAAATTAAACAATGGAAGGAATCGAATTTTCAATGTTCCTGGTGTCTCTGGCCTTTGTGAGTTGTTTTTTTGCTAATAAAGTAAAGTAAAGAATGGTAAAGAAAGATTTCCGAAGAGGGGATTGAACCCTAGACCTTTTTCCTTTCCGGGAAGATGCTTTAACCATTGAGCTATCCAATATCTTCTTGCCAGAGAAGAAAAAGGAAGAAATAAGAAGAAAAAGGAAGAAATAAGAAAAAAAAATAATGCTACTAGTTAGCTATCTCATAGCCGTAGTAGTTGGATTACTTCTAGTTGGATTACCAAGTAGTTACGTAGTAGTTGGATTACCAAGTAGTAGTTGGATTACTTCTTTACTTCTTTACTACTAGATTACTTCTAGTTGGATTACCAAGTAGTTACGTAGTAGTTGGATTACCAAGTAGTAGTTGAATTACTTCTAAGTCTTTTTCCTGACATTATGTTAATATACAAATTAATCTTTGTTATTTCATTGAATTTTTCTTCTAGTTTTGGCATGGTTTTGCATAGATTTAAGCTAAAATAGATGAATAAAAACCTAATAGCGTCATTTCTGACCATTCCCCCAATTTGTTTACTCAATTAGAGACATGCTGACGAAAGTTATATCCTATTCTGGTTGGCGGGGGAAAAAAAGCAAAAGTGCCAATTGAATAATCAAGTAAAATAATCAAATATCATAAAGTCCGTTAAGGAAAAACTGTTTAGAGACTTCAAAAACTATCTGTCTCTTTTCCAGAAAACCGTTTAAACAAATGTCGAGATGAGGAGGAAAAAAAACTGAAAAACACGAAAGCAATCTTTGGCAACTAATGGCCTTTCCCATGGACACCCACTTGGATGAGAAAAGAAAGGAAAGCTCATATTGAGAAGAGAATTGACAGAGATTTTCGATTCAAGATACGCATTGAAAAGGAAAGAAACAAGAAAGGAATCATATGCAAAAGGGAAGAGAGGGAAAATATGTGAAACGGAAAGAGCAACCAAATATAGAGTCAAATAGAGCCAAATGTAGAGTCTAAAATGGTCAACCTTGAAAACTATCGTAATCTTGTCTTTAAACTTTAGTAATCTAAAGATTTCTGCATTTGGTATGTTTCTGAAGGTATGATGCATATCGAAAGTCATAGGTAAGACTGTAAAGTAAAGAAGTAAGTAAAGAAGTAAGTAAAGAAGTAAGTAAAGAAGTAGGCAAAAAAGTAAGTAAAGAAGTAAGTAGAGAAGTAAGTAAAGAAGTAGGTAAAGAAGTAAGTAAAGAAGTAAGTAAAGAAGTAGGTAAAGAAGTAAGTAAAGAAGTAAGTAAAGAAGTAGGTAAAGAAGTAAGTAGAGAAGTAAGTAAAGAAGTAAGTAAAGAAGTAAGTAAAGAAGTAAGTAGAGAAGTAAGTAAAGAAGTAGGTAAAGAAGTAAGTAGAGAAGTAAGTAAAGAAGTAAGTAAAGAAGTAAGTAAAGAAGTAAGTAAAGAAGTAAGTAAAAAAGTAAGTAAAAAAGTAAGTAAAAAAGTAAGTAAAGAAGTAAGTAAAGAAGTAAGTAAAGCAAAGCAAAGCAAAAGCAAAGTAAAAGTAAAAAAAGTGAAGGAATTGACAAGAAAAAGTAGAATTCACAATCCAAGACTTTTTCGCAAATGAGCAATATTAAAAAAGAATCAAAATGAACCTCTTGGATCGTAAAAATTAGATTTTATTTTGTTTGTGATAAAATTTACAAACAGATTATTAATCTATAAATTCAGGAAGACAGAAGATAACTTTTAGCAAATAAACAAATGTTAAATAAGATAAAAACGAAGATTTGATTAATATAAGCAATAAAAGTTTTGGGAAAACTTTCAAAAGAAGAACTCACTTCTCTGCAATTTGAGAAATGGTGAGAATGAATAAGAGAAGAGAGAGAAAACGTCATGAAAATTTCATTTCAACATCAATACCTGAAAGAAGAAGGAAATTTTGTCAGTTATGCATAGTAAGAATAAAAAGAGAATTGTTAAAGATTTTGGAAAGATTTTGGAAAGATTATCTTAATAATTGCCGTCGTAGCCGACCGGATAGGAGTCTTGTCTCCTAGTCGGGGGGTTAAGGGTTCGATCCCGGCTGCTAGAAAGGTTGTTTCTTTTTCCCATTATTATGGGTTGTTTTCTTTGATCTGGAGCGACTACAATTGATACTCAAACTGTCCTGTACTGGCTCAGTACTTGGCCCAGTCAGAGCAGAGCCTGATTTCCAGGCTTATTCTAGACTTTCAGGCTATTCCTAGGCTTCTAGGTTATCCTTAGGTTTTCTAGGTTATCCTTAGATTTCTAGGCTTCTTAGGGTTCGATCCCGGCGGCTAGAAAGATTGCTTCTTTTTCCCATTATTATGGGTTTTCTCTTAACACTCTTTGGGTAATAGGGGTAATTAGGGATAAAAATTTCCTCAATTGTGTTGTAATTCATTATTCGTGTCGAATAGATATACTTTTAATATAATTACGATGAAAAGGCGTTCGAATTCAAAGTGAAACATCATTTGGAAAGAGAAGGAAAAAAAGAAAAGGTTAAAATTTTAAAATGGTAAGAAAAAAATTGAAGCATCAGGTCAAAAGATTGAGTAAACATAAAGAAATAGTGGAAATAAGTTAAAAAGGGTGATGAAAAGCCGACCGGAAGGGGATTGAAAGAAAAAGAAAAAGAAATAGGGAAACTTTTATTGAACTAGCTGAAGAGATGGTTGATAGTAAGAAAATATGAAAATTCAGCGCTTTAAAGTAATTTGAAAGCAATTTAATGGCATTAAATTGAACATTACAATGTTTAATGTTTTTTTGGTTATAGCAAATAGAAAGAAGTTCATGAGAAGTTGTCGAAATTTGATGCGCTTTATTGGTTGGTTGTAGATTAAACCAGATGAAACAACTCTAATTAAATTAAAGAGTAAAAAAATGAAGAAGAAAGTATGATGAAAGATCTGAAATATGGAAGATATGGGAAGTGAAAGATATGAAAAAGATATGAAAAAGATAATGGCTTTAATCCAGAACAAACACTAAATCCGAAAGGTGATGATGAAGAGAAGAGAAATGAAAATTAAAAACGAATCTTTTTGTTGAAAGTTTTAGAAATATTTAGATTTTATTAAAATATGAAATATTTCCCTAAAAGATTATCAATCAGCTTTTAAAAAAAGCAGTTTTTAACTGAAATTTCATTGTAAATGAACAAGATAAATTAGTAGGGTTTGGAATCAGCTCCCGTCTGGTCACCTTCCATTAAGAAACTTATTAACTTGGTTGAAAATGTCCAACCGTCCAACCGATAGGTTCTGATAAGCGCTTTTCGAGATTTCGAGCAATCTAGGCGACGCTCAGGGTGCACTACTATTAAAGAAAATACGATATATATGATCTGACTTGAGCCTAGGCCTGCACGGCACACTTATAGGCTACAGTGATCTTGCTCAAGCTCAAGCTACCTTCTATTCGCCCCCTCAATAAAGCACATATATATAAAAACGAAAACGAATAGTAATGAATTTAGAATACCGTCAAACTTCTCTATAACGATATAACGATCTATTCAAGGGACCAAGAATAAAGATCGTTATATTGAAATATCGGTATACAGAAAATCGTTATACACATAACGATCTGTTGTAGAAGCAAAAATCATCCGCTTTTTGAAACAGATCGTTATCTAAAAGCTTATCAATAAATTTATCAACAAAATCAAGAATTAAAACACAAACCAACATCTAAAGTTTAGTAAAGAAAGCCGTCAAAAGCGATTCTTTTGAAAAGTGAAGCTTTGCTATAGAAGAAATCCTTAATAACTTCCCCATTGAAATTCTCTTTTATATATTCCGAAATGATTGAAAATAACGAAATGCTTCATTACGAGATATTTAATGTTTTTTTGAAATATACAAATGGCAAGTTAAATCATTAAGTTACGGTAAGAAAAAATGTAGGGCATTGTTTAGAAAACAAATTTGTTCGATTCAAGAAATGAAATGAAATCATACAGGGTGGGCCAAAATTACCGTTACAATGCTCACTCACGCGCAAATGTGAAAGCGAAATGGAAGAAAGCGAACGGTAACAACTTTAGCAAATGTCAAAAAAAAAGTGAAGAATCGCCTGTTGAAAACGTCAAACTAATCGGTGCGGAAAATGTCACAAAAAAATGGGGATACAGAGGGAACATCCCTTAGAAGAATCAACAAAAACAAGCTCAAGTTAAAGGCCTACAAGATAAATAAATCACAAATGCTATCAGTTGACGCGATCAACCACACAAAACTGTTGATAGTTTGAAAAAAGCGTTCGAAAAGGCTTAGGAAGAGCTGGATCTCCTACACCTTCTCGCCACGATCGACGCTTTTCTACGTTTGGACGCTTGTGTAAAAGCTATTGGAGATCTGTTTAAAAAAGAATAGTTTTTATGAATTGTTTTTATGAATTTTTATGAGACAATAAAAGTTATTTTTAAGGAAAATCTTTGACCTTTTGAGTTGCTTTTTATACAGAGACTTTTTCATATGTAACGGTAATTTTGGCCCACCCTGTATAAAGAAATGGAACAGAACTATATTCTCAAAAAATATCGTTATAAAGAAGTATCGTTATATCGAAAATTGATGTATAAAAGCTTTTTTTGTCAACATTTTATCAACGATTATATATTGACGTTTTTCCGGGACACAGAAAACATCGTTATATAGATGTTACTAATGTAGAAGGTAGAGAAATTCGTTTTCAAGATAGAACAAAGAGATATCAACAAGAGAAAGAGATAATAAACAATAAATATCAAAATAAATCAAACATTAGAAAGAGATATCAAA